GGGGGACAAAAGATAAATTTAAAAAATATATATCTGATGATACATTGCTCTTAGTAGAACGAGAAATAAGCAGACTCTGAAATTATAGATTGAATCTACGGACTATCCAGGGTTACTCAGACCTTCCAAAGTTTACACTAAAAAATACTGTGCTTTGGGAACTTTTGCCGTAAACATAATTTTAGTTGATAATATAAGACGTTTCTGAGGATAGTGATTTTCCAGGGTTCGTAGCTTGGATGCTATTTTTGGCATTTTTAAAAGGCATTTTAAAATTACAATTAAAAATAAAGAGGCACCCAGTGAGGATCGAACTCACTACTATAGTTGTTATTGTTCTGATGATACTAGCTCTTAATAGGTCGAGAAATAAGCAAACTCTGAAATTACAGATTGAATCTACAAACTGTCAAGACCTTCCAAAGTTTACACTAAAAATACTGTGCTTTGGGAAATTTTGCAGTAAACATAATTTTAGTTGTAAATATAACGTTTCTGAGGATAATGTACGGATATATTTCCTGAGATGTTTATATATTGTACACTGTTCTATTATTAACGTTGACAACGAACTAGTTTAAATTACAATACATATTACTTATAATACATTCCTTCTTGCCGTTAATTTTGACAGTATGGGTACATTAGTACTTAGTATATTTCAGTAAAAAACAAACGAAAGCAAAAACAAAACGATAACACGTGAAGTGACAAGAGTGATATTTGAAACTGATGACATTGACATAGCACAAAATGCAAAAAATATTTTGATAACAGCTCATGAAAGCTGAAAGTACTAACACAATGAACAATTTACATATTTAAGCTTTAACCAGAAACCAGAAAAATGTAGAAATAATCAATTAAAACATCTTTTAAATTCAAAATATTTTTACCTCTATGCAAGGGAGAAACACATGTGATTTTTGAAAGATTTTTGTAGTGAAGTGAGACCAAAGGAGCGGTAATGGTCGCCATTTGTAATTCTGTCATAGCATACGTGTTGGTGGTTTTGCATAAGCGAGGACGCAACTGATATAAGAGCGCGTCCTTTTTCCAGGACGCATTTTTTTGAATTAGACGGTTTATGAACAGGAAGTGGATTGACAGCGAAAAAGTCGTGTGTGCTGGGATTTCTTGATATTGGACTACAATTTTTGATTGCAATATTTCCTTCTGTACACCCCATGGATTTTACAGTATTTTTTTTTTAATCATCAAACAGTTTTGTCTTGATTTCATCTTGGATTTCAGTGTTTTTGACCATCAAACAATTTGCCGAGGTACCTTCATGAGATTGCTAAAAAAAAGAGCATAACATGATGAAAAAGGCGCCAAGCTTGACGAAAACAAAATTTTATCGTCTAAATGTTTATGTTATTATTAAGAGGAAAGACCAAAGATTTTTTTAAATTATTTTTTAATTTTTTTTTTTTTTTTTAAAACATTCTAAATTTTGATTGAAAAAAACTTGTTTCTCTTTGTATCACCGGAACTAGTAAAATAACATACAATTTTTAGCAACGATTTTTTTTTTTTGTATGACATTAATTTGGAAAATCTTGCAAAAATAAAAATAATTGAGGTTGGATTGATTTACTATGAATTTCTGTTGCAAACGGAACGGACCTATAAACTCGTGAAGTAACCGACAGAAATGGATGGCATTATTCGCGTGGAAAATAAAAGTTACTAAGTGAAGTGAGACCAAAGGGGTGGTAATTGTCGCCATTTGTAATTCTGTCATAGCACACGTGTTGGTGGTTTTGCATACATGAGGACGCAACTTATATAAGAGCGCGTCCTTTTTTCAAGACGCAGTTTTTTTTAATTAGATGGTTTTTGAACAGGAAGTGGATTGACAGCGAAAAAGACATGTGTGCTGGGATTTCTTGATATTGCACTACGATTTTTGATTGCAATATTTCCTTCTGTGCCCACCTTGGATTTCAAAGTGTTTTTTTAATCACCAAATAATTTTGTCTATTTGATCTTTGATTTCACAGTGTTTTTGATCATCAAACAAGTTGCCTTTTCTAATTTAAAATGCTACTTTAAATTAACTACACTTTTTTAATTGTTAGTATTTTAATTTAATATTTTTATATAACGCTTTGCTGCTACAATCATTAAAAGACTTTGTTGCCATACTAGTAGTTGACTTTATTTTTGTCCGCAATTCTCTTATATATAGGTCTTCAAGAATTAAAAAAAATGCCTATTATTATCTTGAAGCACTGATGTATTTTCGACATATATCAGATGAGATTGAAAGTACTTGGGCTAATAAATGTTATTTGACAGAAAATTTAGGAATTTTTCTTAATCAATTTTTATAGGTACCAAGAAATTAATTTCGTGGATTTGAAATGATTAAAACTAAAATAAAAAACGTAATACGTCTAAATTATTTAACTAAAAATGCTTGAATGAAAATATGTTCTTAGCTTAGTGTTCAATTTGATATCCAACTTAATTATTCGCAATGATTCTCCCCCCTCCCCGTTAGTGATTTGCAAAAAACCAACATAGTTTACAAATTCAAGTGCCCTTTGGGAGATCGTATCTCCAATGGATTAAATAACATCTATGTTGGTCACACCACAAACTCGCTTTCACGACGCTTGACTCTACATTTGAATGATAACTCTAACATTTTTAGGCATTTAAAACAATATACCTGGCCGTGTACACAATTCGAGAAAATCCTCGTTGAAAACACAACTATACTTAAACAGGAAAACAATAAACAAAATCTAAAAAAATTCTTGAAGCTATATGCATAAAACAGTTGAAACCTAACCTGAACAAAATAAACTATGAAATCTCCACAAATATTCTTAAATGCCTATAATTGATAACAGAAGCCATTGGTTTATACCAACGGCTTCCCATACTTAATACTTCTCATTTTCACTCTCGCATGCTAATGTGTGACGTCACGAGCTGCGATGCGATTTTCGCTTCCACGTCTCGTATACACGAGGTTGTCGTTGCTTTGAAATTTTTCATGCAACAAAAACAGACTATTATTATTGTTTCGTCCGTGTATTGTTTGATATATTAAAAAGCAATTGTCATCTTTGATAATGGCTTATGTAAGCCGAAAGCTTAGACCGGATTTAAACATGTATCAATATGGTGATTTCATTTTGTCTTTCAATGGTAATGTTATTAAGCTTATCAGAAAATATCAAAAACTAAAAATTCTTGAAGCTATATACATAAAACAGTTGAAACCTAATCTGAACAAAATAAACTACGAAATCTCCACAAATATTCTTAAATGACTATAATTGATAACAGACGTCATTGGTTTATATCTATAAATTCAATACCTATAAATAGGTATTGAATCTATCCATCTAAATATATGTGCTATCCAGCTTTCACAGTTGAATATATGGTAGTTGATACAATTTGTCTATATTATTTAATGAAACATGCATCAATGAAAAATTTCTGGCTGAATACACACTATATATATGATCCGTGAGATCACCCCTGGTCGGCGGCTGATGAAGTCAGGGTATCGCACGTGCTAACACACGTTGTATGTTAAAAATATATATATATATATATATATATTACGATAAACGGCAATCAGTTTACAAATTCGAATTATTCACACAAAAACAAAAGCAAAAGGTTAATGATTTAATTGGCGAAATCCATCATTGCAAACAATTCAAATAAGAACTAATACGGCAGAATCCGTTGGAAAGAAGGATCAATTCATTCATAACGGATTCGAGGTTTTTGTTATTATTAGGAATTGACGATGATGGATTTCTCGCCAATTAAATCATTAACCTTTTGCTTTTGTTTTGTGTGAATAATTCATGAATTTGTAATATATATATATATATATATATATATATATATATATATATATATATATATATATATATATATATACGCCTTAATCGCAAAAGATGTTTAAAAATAAATGCTCTGTGCTTTACGGAACAATCTAAGATCGAACTAAAAATAATTCGTCGGTTAGTTGAGTTCCCATAATTAATAAGATCTCTGTCTTTTTCCAAGCCTAAAATCGCCGTCGGGAGAAGTTCTGTATTGTGGACGAGATTAAGGAAACCGTAACAAGGCAGCTGATAGCGAAATCTAATGGTCTCTGTGTTTCAGGCTCCGACGGGAGTATTTTGAAGGCGAGGGGGGTACTTTCTAATAAATGACTGAATGATCTTCGGACAAATCTCATACACGTTTCGGAAACCTATGTATAGCTTTATAGTTACAGTAGGAAGCTGTGTTGTGAAGCATTGGTTAACAGGCTCGTTTGGGGGAATACTATAAATGAAATTAATTTTTAAATAAAGATACATTTCGACAATCTCGCTAGAATCTATCCATCTAAATATGATATGTGTTATTCTGCTTTCACAGTTGAATATATGGTAGTTGATACATATCTTTTCTGCATATACATGTTTATGTGAACATCATTACTAGAGGCGGTTATATGTGTAGTTCAGGCTGGAGTTTTATTGAATTCATATTTTGGAGTAAAATTTCATTTCTTTAAGAAATTGTTGAATATTATATGGATTAATGCCATGGACGAGTTTTTCATGTTGATTGATGTATTATTGGTCATTTTACTACGAATAGGTATTGTTGGTCATTTTACTATAAATAGGTATTATTGGTCATTTTACTACAAATAGATATTGTTGGACTTTTTACAACAAATAGGTATTGTTGGTCAATTTCCTACAAATAGGTATAATTGGTCAATTTACTATCAATAGGTATTGTTGGTAATACTTTTTATATAATATGTATTAGTGGTATTTTTATTATAAAAAAGTTTGTTTTTTTCTTGTTTAGAGGTTCATTATTTGTCCATAGCTGGGACCCTAACAGGTGCTACCACCTCACGTCAGGGTGGACCTGGGAACAACACCAATTAAGAGGAGGTGTCACGCTCCTCAAAACCTCCAATCTCCCTTGCTGCTGAATGTAGTTTATAGTTAAACCCGGGACAAGAGAGAGAGAGAGAGAGGGAGAAGGTGAAAGAAAGAAAGAAAGAAAGAAAGAAAGAAAGAAAGAAAGAATTGGAAAATAAGAAGAAAGAAAGAAAGAAAAAAGAAGGAAGGAATGGGGGTAATATGAAGAAAGAAAGAAAGAAAAAAAAAAGAAAGACAGAAAGAAAGAAAGAAAGAAAGAAAGAATTGGAAAATAAGAAGAAAGAAAGAAAGAAAAAAGAAGGAAGGAATGGGGGTAATATGAAGAAAGAAAGAAAGAAAAAAGAAAGAAAGAAAGAAAGAAAGAATTGGAAAATAAGAAGAAAGAAAGAAAGAAAGAAAAAAGAAGGAAGGAATGGGGGTAATATGAAGAAAAAAAGAAAGAAAGAAAGAAAGAAAGAAAGAAAGAATTGGAAAATAAGAAGAAAGAAAGAAAGAAAAAAGAAGGAAGAAATGGGGGTAGTATGAAGAAAGAAGTAAAGAAAGAAAGAAAGAAAGAAAGAAAGAATGAAAGAATCTTATTATTGGTACTGAGAATGATAAAACGCTGTAGGAAATACGAAAGCGACAAGGAGGAACCTAATAAAAATGGGCGTGAAAACAGCAATGGAATGAGAAAAAAATAAGTGAACATATCATAAAGAGAGCTTTTTAGAGAAAGTGAGAAAAAAAAAAATGGAAGGGAATCTTGAACGGGAAAAATGAAGTCTGAGCATGCGCAGTTTCGTGTGTTATCACTGCAGGTATCAAAATATGTGGCTATCGTTCCTAAGCATTTCACAAGGGGCGATGGCCTGGATGACAACATCGAAGGCAAAAGCCACGAGCAGCTGATAGGGACTTCGTATCTGTTTTAACACATCTGCCGTTTTTCTCCCAAAGGGGGGAGAGAGAGAGAGAGAGAGAGAGAGAGATGAAAAGATAAATAAAAAAAACATGTCATACGACAGTCCTTCCATAACGCGTACTGGGTAGCTATGCATTACTTGCTTGATTTGGTGGTCCTGAAAAAAAAGTCATATATTGTGCAGGTGTGTGTGCATTTATTTATTAACCGTTTTTATATTATTTGTGATATCCTGGGTAGGATTTTATAAACAAACACTTTATAACTTTCACTCACTCTAACCGCCAGATATATTCGAGGGGGTGCTGAAAAGTTCTTGGTTTTGACACAGAACCATGACATTTATATGTTATTGCGCATATTTATTTATCCTACACTTCTACACACATTATATATCGTTTCCCGAGTTTGTTAACCGTTGCAAAAAATGGTCATTGAAATCCCCCTCCGCTGTTTCTATCATTTCATTAAAAAAAATACCCACCAATCGAAATTTCTTTTTATTGCACTAATTTAGAACTTCTGGACGGGCAAGATAGTATTAGGATGACACTCATAGATTATTTGGAGCAATTACTTTATAATAACGATCTGTCAAAGACCACTCGTAAATATATATATATATATATATATATATATATATATATGAATAAAAATGACAATAGGAAAACTGGTAATTGCTGACGCGTTTCGTCCAATGTGGACTTTATCAAAGCAAAATACGAATTTTTCGTCCAATGTGGACTTTATCAAAGCAAAATACGAATTTTTCGTCCAATGTGGACTTTATCAAAGCAAAACGAATTTTTCGTCCAATGTGGACTTTATCAAAGCAAAATACGAATTTTTCGTCCAATGTGGACTTTATCAAAGCAAAATACGAATTTTTCGTCCAATGTGGACTTTATCAAAGCAAAATACGAATTTTTCGTCCAATGTGGACTTTATCAAAAAAAAAAATACGAATTTTTCGTCCAATGTGGACTTTATCAAAGCAAAATACGAATTTTTCGTCCAATGTGGACTTTATCAAAGCAAAATACGAATTTTTTCGTCCAATGTGGACTTTATCAAAGCAAAATACGAATTTTTCGTCCAATGTGGACTTTATCAAAGCAAAATACGAATTTTTCGTCCAATGTGGACTTTATCAAAGCAAAATACGAATTTTTCGTCCAATGTGGACTTTATCAAAGCAAAATACGAATTTTTCGTCCAATGTGGACTTTATCAAAGCAAAATACGAATTTTTCGTCCAATGTGGACTTTATCAAAGCAAAATACGAATTTTTCGTCCAATGTGGACTTTATCAAAGCAAAATACGAATTTTTCGTCCAATGTGGACTTTATCAAAGCAAAATACGAATTTTTCGTCCAATGTGGACTTTATCAAAGCAAAATACGAATTTTTCGTCCAATGTGGACTTTATCAAAGCAAAATACGAATTTTTCGTCCAATGTGGACTTTATCAAAGCAAAATACGAATTTCGTATTTTGCTTTGATAAAGTCCACATTGGACGAAACGCGTCAGCAATTACCAGTTTTCCTATTGTCATTTTTATTCATAAATATTGTCTTCTCTACCGATTAAATCGGAGAAATTTTCATATATATATATATATATATATATATATATGCTGATGATACCGCACGGTAAAGGTACACATCTGAAATAGCTTGATGACAAAAACCTGGCAGTTGATGTTCCCTCTGACCTTACTCTCATATCTCAATGGAGTTTTCCCTTAATTTGATTTGCTAGCGAGAAAATAGCGGGAAAATATCTGGCAATGTATAGTTATAAGAAAAAAAATTATAGGTTTCTGTGATGTCAACGAATATTCGTTGTCACTTTCGTAATGCTCATTGTAGTAGAGACTTTGTAATCGCAGATGCAACTATTGAAACTGAACTCGGGTCTCCGATTAGCAATTCCGAGTCATTATTGATTAAACCACCTGCACATGCAAGCTTACAGCACCTGGTATTCCCAAGATGGTCATCCATCTAGATACTGATCAGGTTTGACGTTGCTTAACTTAAGTGATCGGCCGGGAAACGGTGTTTCAACGTGATGTGGCCGTAAGCCTATAGTAAAACAATATTCAATGCATTCCTGAAGTAAAATAATTTGCTAGACATTGTTATAATAAAATAATTTGAATTGCATTTCTATACTAAAATAATATGCAGTCCATCTATAATAAAATGATTTGCAATGCATATCTGTAATAAAATAATTTTCTGTGTGTTGCTATAATAGTTTCCTATGCATTCTTATAACGAAATAATTTGCAATGTATTTCCATAATGAAATAATAATTCTATACATTTGTATATTGAAATAATATTCAATGAATTTTCATCATGAAATAATTTGCGAATATCTATATATTGAAATAAGTTGGGAGTAATGGATAGCGGCTGAGATTGAGGAGAGCCGAGTTCAAATTCCAGTCGGATCCATTGCATCCACTTACGTGCTAAAACCCATGGGAGACGTATGAATCTTCTTCTTATCCAAACAGGTATGGGTAATTAGCAGGTCAGACTAGGTTCTATAGCATTGGGTATCAACCGGTCTAGGAGAAAGTAACTCTGAATCCAAAACGGTAGGTAACCCTGGCATAGCACATGCTATACGGCTAAAGAAAGGATTGTTCGCATTGGATCGAAAATTCTGACTACCGTCAACCTGGATAATGGTCACAGGAGAGATTGAAAGGACGAATTACATTCCTTGGTTACCACAGACCTGAAATTTGAAACAGGCGGCGTCTCTCATACCACCTATACAAAGATGAATCTTCCTCATTACCTTTTGTCCTACATTAGTAAGAAGTAAGTTCCACTTGTTGATCTTCTTTCCTGCTTCTTTGTGAAATCCACTTCCCGGCAGGATGTTTTTCCAAATTACTACAATCTTGACCCCTTTTAAGTCTTGGGTTAACCATTATCTTTTCCTTTCGTATTCCTATTGTAAGAAGTAAATTCCATTCAGACAGCTTCTTCCCAAGAACTGCTGTTTTGTGGAACAGATTCCAGGAAGGATATTTTCCCAATCACTACAATCTTGACCTCTTCAAGTCTAGGGTTAACCATTATCTTTTCCTTTCGTATTCCTATTGTAAGAAGTAAATTCCATTCAGACAGCTTCTTCCCAAGAACTGCTGCTTTGTGGAACAGATTCCCGGCAGGATGTTTTTCCAAATTACTACAATCTTGACCCCTTTTAAGTCTTGGGTTAGCCATTATCTTTTCCTTTTGTATTCCTATTGTAAGAAGTAAATTCCATTCAGACAGCTTCTTCCCAAGAACTGCTGCTTTGTGGAACAGATTCCCGGCAGGATGTTTTTCCAAATTACTACAATCTTGACCCCTTTTAAGTCTTGGGTTAACCATTATCTTTTCCTTTCGTATTCCTATTGTAAGAAGTAAATTCCATTCAGACAGCTTCTTCCCAAGAACTGCTGCTTTGTGGAACAGATTCCAGGAAGGATATTTTCCCAATCACTACAATCTTGACCTCTTCAAGTCTCGGGTTAACCATTATCTTTTCCTTTCGTATTCCTATTGTAAGAAGTAAATTCCATTCAAATAGCTTCTTCCCAAGAACTGCTGCTTTGTGAAACAGATTCTCTGTAGGATATTTTCCCAATCACTAACATCTTGATCTCTTCAAATCTAGGGTTAACCATTATCTTTTCCTTTCGTATTCCAATTGTAAGAAGTAAATTCTATTCAGAGAGCTTCTTCCTAAGAACTGCTGCTTTGTGGAACAGATTCCTGGCAGGATATTTTCCCAATCATTAACATCTTGACCTCTTCAAATCTAGCGTTAACCGTTATCTTTCTTACATAAACTCATGAACTGCATCTCATGTTTTGACTTGCATGTAATACCTAACAGTAATCATCTACTATGAATGACTCTTAAGCCTTTTACTGGGTGAACATTAGTATAAAAAAAAACAGTGACAGAATAACCTGCCTAATTTGGTTGTGTACAGTAAAAGACACGGGTCATAAAAGGAGATATGCATATAGAGATCGCTTATTCATCAAATATATACAGGCGGGTATAACAATGAGATATCCTAACTTGCTGTCGTCAAATACATCTAGATAGATAGTTACCAAAAAGCTGTCATCAAATATAGATTGGGCAGACCAAAGTGTTGTCGAAAAAATGCAACTACATACATACATACATAATGGCCGCCGACTCATTTCAAAGCGCACCCGTCTGCTCGGGTGCCTAGCAGACGCTTTCTCAGGCATATTTGTGATAAATCGACACTCCCAGAACCCAACTCTGGTTCATATTGCAATATTGTTGAGCGAACCTTAGTTACAGTTTCTTGGAGAGAACGCATAATCTGGCGTGAACAACAGTTTTAACAAAGAGGTTGATGTAACAATAAACTAAAGTAAGTAGCCAAAATAATGTCCTGACCAATTCTGATCTACTAAACATTCATTCGAAAATCATTTTTTTTAATATATTTCTTTGTGTGTGGGAGAGGAGTTTGTTTTAGTTTTTATTTGTAAGAAAGAGTTTTTTTTTCTTTTTTTTTTTCCTCACGGGTTACACCTGACGAGAAGCAAAGAATGAAAAGACTGAAACCTCGTCTTATATAAATAATATAAGTAAACGAATAAGAGATTCGATTGTCCGAAGTATGTTGGGGAGGCTAGGGATTTTAGATTAATGACTTTTTACAAGTTATAGGCAACATTCTTTTAGTCTATTTGTGAACACTGCAACTAACTAGCAGTTAGAACAAGAAAATTATGAGACCTAACTGTTAATCTAGTATTGCGCTTAAATTCCTGAACTCGATGTACCAAACAGTAAATATGTAACTTGTAGAATATAACTAATGAATAACAGAAGTTTGATAGACAGTTTTTAATCTTTGCAAGATCGTAGACATAATTTATCGTATCGATATAGAGATCGTCTATTCATCAAATATATACAGGCGGGTATAACAATTAGATATCCTAGCTTGCTGTCGTCAAATACATCTAGATAGATAGTTACCAAAATAATAAATTGGGCAAACTAGAATGTTGCCGAAAAAAATGCAACTACATACATACATACATACATACATACATACATACATAATGGCCGCCGACTCATTTCAAAGCCCACCCGTCTGCTCGGGTGCCTAGCAGACGCCTCCACAGGCACATTTGTCAACAATATAATGATCACAAATAACATCGTGGATAGCGAATCGACTGGAAAAATTTATAATTTGCCAAGTTCTTTTCCTCTCGATGTTAATACCATCTTGCAACTACTCATACCTTTCCGTATAATTGTTACAATGTTCTTAGCTACACCAACCATACCCATGCATTTTAGGATCCACGAGTGTGGTACTTTATCATCGGCTATGGTCAAGTTTGCAATGCGCCCCCTGAAATTCTGAAAAAATTGCCTTGTCTATCAGTAATTATTTTTTAATACCTGACAAACGCTTTCGATGTCCCTTCTGCTCATCTGGAAAAGGACTGTTTTCAGTAATCTGAAAGTATATGTTGTCATTGAGAATTCATGTGACCAATCTCTACATTAAAAGTAAGCAAGTAATAGGTCTGTAATTGTCAGTCTGTAGGCCTTTTGGGGAGATCTTTCATTATAAGGATTATCCTCACCATAACCATCTATGCTGGTACGGTATCCTGGTGTAAACATCCCTGTAAACATTCCAAACTCTCATGCATGACTGTTCCTTTTTTAAAACCAGAAACATCGCGCAAAATCATCTTCAGTATCTTTCTAGTTAGCCATCTTTGTCAGCTAGCGATTCAAGACGCTCCAAGCTAATGTCTTCATCCTTATACAGAGGCTTCTTCCGCAATTTTATAAATCTGGTAACCATGATGTATTCTCATTGTGTTTAATGCTATTTGACCAAATTTTGCTCCAAGTCTCTGTTGCTTTAGAAGGATCAGGTGGTTGAATTACCTCAGCTGTTTTTCTATCTAGTCCATTGTTTGTTTGTTTGTTTTGTTGTTTAACGACTTATCAACTTCTTATGAGTCATTTACTGCCGAAATTTAATTTTCTTGGAAGCACTAGTAATTTTCTTTACAAAAATATATTGCTGATAGTTTTTTTCTTCAAAAGTGTATTGCTGTCAAATTTTCTTTTTGTTAACTATCTGCCCGTAGCTGGGGCCCTAACAGGCGCGATCACCCTGGTCAAGGGTGGATCTGGGAATAACAGCAATTAAGAGGTGGTTCCACGCTCCTCAAAACTTTCCGATCAGATGACTTGCTGCAAGATGTAATTTATCATCATACCCAGGATAGTGTCAAGAAAAGGAAAACAAAAACACATCTAGCGTGGAAAAGAGAGAGGGAGGGAGAGAGAGAGAGAGAGTAAAAAAACTAATAAATGATCATTCGATTTATCTCTTGTCCAATTCCAGTGTTTTGTGTAACACGGCTCATCAAGTTCAGAAGGTTGGATCGAAGCTTTAGAGTCGGCCGAGGCATAGGTCGCTTCACTATTTATTAGTTTATTGAATATTGTCTTTAAATAGGATAGATTTTAGTAAGTCTACGTGTATTTATAGGGGGTACTATTTTTCTTATTGAACGTATCCGAGTACTTTTGTTATGTACCAGTGAACAAACTGTCAACTCAAATCATGGACCTTAGACAGGCTGTATTTTCAAAGTATGTTTGCTGGAAGCAATAAGGCTCATTTTTGTAGATTTAATATTATTATTATCATTAATTATTATTATTTGTTTTGTTTGTTCAGTGGCATATCGACTCCTTATGAGTCATTTAATGACGAAATTTAATTTTCTTGGAAGCATTAGAAATCTTCTTTACAATTTTTTTTACCATGGGAAGGCATTGCTGGTATTTTTTACTATAAAAATCTAATTTTATACTTTCATAGTGTTTGACCACAGTTTGGGGTGCTACCACCCCGGGTCAGATTGTGAGGTGGTTCCATCCACCTCAAAACTTTCAATCTCCTGATCAGAGGCCTTGCTGCCGGATGTAGTTTATCGTTATACCCAGGACGTCTAGTCCATTATAGAACAAATTTTGGTTCTGTATATATTTTGTAATGTCCGTTTGTAGGAGAGATTTTGTAAATCAATAGTAACGCCTTCGAACAACACTCGGTCAGACACCGCTAATTACCATATATATATATATATATATATATATATATATATATATATATATATATATATATATATATATATATAGAATCATATTTTTAAATAAATAATTATATATATATATATAATTATTTATTTAAAAATATGATTCTAACACGCTACATAAGAGTTCTCATGTTTCAAAACAAGAGCCGAAAACTTCAATATAATTATTTGAATTAAATTGAATTAAAGTACTAAGCTCTGTTCCATCTTCAAGCGAAATTTTTTTTGGAATAACTTATTTCTCAAATTTACGTGTTTTATAAGCATATTCATTATTGAAATCAAAATTTCTATGGTAACGGCTAGAGCAATTGTTTAAAGAAAAAGGAGCCTAAGGTGTTAATAATTTGTATCAATATCTCAGTTACATTCACAGATGTCAAGTCAGGGTAAGGTTGGGGTGTCTAAATTTAAAGCGGAAGATGACATCGCCTAGTCTGGTTAAGTGTCTATGGAGATTTATTTATTTTTTTATTTTATTTTTTATTTTTTTCTGAAAGGGTTTTGTGTATATAAAAACTGTCGTAAATCGCTAACATTTGTTTTTTCACGACTGCATAAAGGGTTATCTTTTTTTGTAGGGCATTTAAACTATTTATTAAGACTATGGATGTTAAAAATTATTTTATTGTTTGTTAGTTTTTTATGCTAATTATTCAATGCAAAAATTTGATGATGTCGGCAAAAAACCGTTAACTCATGTCTATTGTTTAATAGATTTTTATTATTTAGAAACTTAATAATGTATATTTTTTCATGTAGGCATAAAGGGCATGGGCCATCCCAAGTTTTACAAGTATTTTCTTTAACCGTCACGTGATCTAATCATTTCAAGATGAAGTCGACTGTGCTTGCTCTCTGGCGATCCGTGTTCAAACCCAGTTGACGGCAGCGACACTTTAGTCCTATATAACAGTATATTTCTCAGATGAGATATTGTAATTACAATCACATGGTCCAGTTGATAAAAGCCTTTGGTTGAAGTTCTGAGTTCAATACCTGGCCGCAGCAGAGGTAAAAAAAGAAAAAAAATTGGAGAGTTGAGTTTAAAGAGAAATAACTGAAACTGAGATATCTGGAAGAGGCACGGCACGTGGAACTAGAGCAGTTTATCCCGGTGGACGAAATAAAGAGTTCAGTTCGAAATTCCAATCATGTGAAGTAGGCCAAAGCGTATAACGACCGAATCATCGTGAATATGACGACAAGGTGAGGACAACTGTCCGAATATAGTAAATAGCGGAAGTAAACTTTGGTTCGTTCTGAACAAGTTGTTTTGATAGAACTAAATGCAGCGTTCGTCGTTTCGATTCAATGTCACTGCACATGATCCAGTCTTCTGCTTCGGTATGTGACTAACAAAGTTTTCAGTCTACTGATATTTGCGATCCATTCGCATTTGATCTCTATTTCACAGTCTCATGTTTCGACAGCTGACTTCCTCGATTTTGGGGTCTGTCTATATTTCTGAGATGAGGTATTATGTACATTATTTACATTATTCGGACGAGTGTCCTCATCTTTGTCGTCATATTTATCACAATGTTTCGGCCGTTGTACGCTCCGGCCTTCTTCAGGTGGTTGGAATTTCGAACCGAACCCTTTATTTCGCATGTTTTTTACCAGAGCTCATATTGCAACTTTGTTGTTATCATTGCTTTTCTCTGGCACTCCTTATTACTGGTTCCCATATTGTATTTATTTCTATGCTTCGTCGGCTCAGGAGATTTATGTGGCCTAGCATGCAATGATAACAGCAAAATTGCAATATGAGCACTGGTAAAAATGATTGCTGAGGACATTAGGTTTATAATACCCAGAAATTCATACCCAGATGAACCTCGAGGACATATGTCATAGTGGATAAAGGCGTTGGTTAGATCCAGTGACAGGACCCAAAGAGTGTGAGTTTAATACGGTTAAGGTAGTGGAGAACTTTCAGAGGGAAATTAACAGGAGATAACTGACATCCATTAAACATGGCACGTGGAACTAGAACAGTCTATCCCAGTGAGCGAAATAAAGGGTTCAGTTCGACATTCCAACCACCTAAAGAAGGCCGGAGCGTACAACGGCCGAAACGTTGTGATAAATATGGCGACAAAGATGAGGACAATAGTCCGAATAATGTAAATAGTGTACATAATACCTCATCTCAGAAATATAGGCAGATACTGAAAGGCCGAAACGTTGTAATAAATATGGCGACAAAGATGAGGACAATAGTCCGAATAATGTAAATAATGTACATAATACCTCATCTCAGAAATATAGACAGATACTGAAAGGCCGAAACGTTGTAATAAATATGGCGACAAAGATGAGGACAATAGTCCGAATAATGTAAATAGTGTACATAATACCTCATCTCAGAAATATAGACAGATACTGAAAGGCCGAAACGTTGTAATAAATATGGCGACAAAGATGAGGACAATAGTCCGAATAATGTAAATAGTGTACATAATACCTCATCTCAGAAATATAGACAGATACTGAAAGGCCGAAACGTTGTAATAAATATGGCGACAAAGATGAGAACAATAGTCCGAATAATGTTCCTCGATTTTACTTTGGTCCGTTTGCCAGGTTGCTACACTTCTTTTCAATTCTCCTTTTCCAGAATATTTTATCTCTATTCTGCCACTTTTCCCTCCTCAACTTTCTCAAACGTCTCTGTAATAACCGATGCAGTAGTGTCAAATAAATCACTTGACCCAGGGGACATTTTTAGTGGATATCAGTCCAACTTTTTCATTTCTTTTCTGAACTTTTGCTTTCTTTCTCTCCTGATTTTAGTGATGTCAACGTTTCGCGTCCACCCTTTTCTATTGCCTCAATTAACCTGTTGCTTCTATATTGGCTCTTCCCTTGGGACAACAGGTTCTGATGCCACACTGTCTGCAGCATTTTGTGTCTCCTCCGTTTGTCTTTTTTGGTGTCCCTTTTCAGGTGGAACTTGAACACCTTCAAGGTACCTCCACGAAAAAAAAAAAAAAAACAGAAAAAACGATAGCTAAAGTTTAAAATATTAGTTTTAATTTCAAGCTAATAAAATTAAATTTAATATTTCTTAGTGTTTGATGATTTCTGTTAAGCTTTTCAATTTATGATCAGTAAATATAGTTTTGACTTAAATATCATCTAAAATTCGCAACTTAATACAAAATTTAAAAGATTTAAAACTTAATAAATTTTTCTAATTAAAATGTAAAAACAATAAAAATAATTTTTGTAAAAATCAATTATTCATTGAAAATTTTTTTCTTAACACAATAGTGTCCTTAATATACCTTATTTATAAAAGCAAATAAAAGCTTTTCTAATTAAATAATGTCATAATTTTGTTGCATATTTTATTTTATGATTCAAAGATTTTTGGTAAATGGTGTTTCTGTTTGACAAAAACAAAATGATGATTTAAATTCTCCAAGGAGTCTTGCTTTTAAATATGAATAGGCTTAAATTTTAATTTCTCGAAATTTCATAAAATTAAATAAGTGGGAGTAATAAATGTAAAAAAAAATTACAAAGACTTTCATAAAGAAATGTTTAAAAAATAATTTCGTTCATATGTGAATAAGATCAGAAAATTTCATTAAAATTCACCAATTATTTGATTTTTGCAAGAATTTGCAAAACAATGTTTTTTTTTTACTGCAAAAAGACGCTAAATTTCTCATACTAATATTTCGAACGTGCTAGAAAGGATTAAAAAAAATAATAAAATAATTAAAAATACTTTATTCTTTTCTCTTAATAATAACATAAACATTTTGACGATAAAACTTTATTTTTATCAAGTTCGACGCCTTTTTTTTTCATTATGGTATGCACTTTTTGGGAAAATTTTTGGAGGTATCTGCATTATATCATGTCCGAGATCTTCAATGTCCTGGTTGTTACCATCTGAAATTCTCAGATTTTTTTTTCCAATCTCTTTCTTCTGAAAGGTAAGTTAAATACGTCATCTGTTTGATCTGTCTAAGCTGATCATCATATTCGTTGCCCACTGGCTCACCTCAGCCCCTCTCTGTATTCAAATAATGGGATTGATCCGAATGCTCCAGTCAACACTGGAATTACCTTGACATTCCCTTCTCGCATTCCAAACAATCTTGCCATCTCAACTTTCAAATGAGATTTGTTTGTAATTTTCTCAATCACCCTGTTTTCTATATTTGTGTCATTTGGTATGCCAAAATCAATAATATGACAGTCCTTGGCGCCTTTATTTATCACATTAATGGTGTATCATTCAGTCTTTCTGACATTATTATTATTATTATTATGATAGTCCCTTTCTGAAAATACATTCTTTGGTCCTGCCGTCCAATAATCCTCATCTGCTTCCAGTATCTCCATGAATATATATTGAAGTAAAGCCCATTAACAATTCTTATTCCATATTTACCTTTGAGTACAAAACATTCCAAGAGCTAAGACTGTGTTT